CGCGGGGCCCTGAATAGTAGCCACGGTCGTCCGCATGCCACGAAGTGAAGTGTCCGAACGTCATAGGGCGGGAAGCTGGGTGTGGGTGGTGGCGAAGAGTCGTTTGGAAATTTGGTAGAGCTTGAACCGGCCCCCCCACAAAGTGGGGGTATTGCCCGCCTCCTATGAAAACCCTGGCACTGGTGAGAACGGAGTGTCCCCACGTGCTAGTAATTGTTGTTGTTGTTGTTGTCGTTGTTGTTGTTGTTGCTGTTATTGATTTTGATGATGATGGTGATGATGAGGATGATAATGATGCTGACGCTGATGATGGCAATGATGACGATGATGCTGATGCTGATGATGATGATGATGATGATGATGAGGAGGAGGAGCAGAAGGACGAGGGTCAGGAGGAGGACCAGTGTCAACACAAGACCCATCAACGATGCTGGAATAAACCATCCCTCCAAGCTTCCTCTTCATACCCCCCTACAAGGGGTCACAGTCACTGAGGGAAGTGCCTCGTTAGGAGACAATCGTTTGAAGACCCTGAAGCGTGCCACAACACCATTCTCGGAATTTCAACGCCACGAGTCAACCTGACTGTTGCGTTTTTGCAATCCTGACTCGTGCCAGAACACCATCCCTGGGACTTCAACACCGCGAATCAACGTAACTGTCGCGCCCTTGCAATCCTGAGTTGTTCCCGAGCGCCGTTTCTTGTACGTTAACCATGGGAGTCCGTGAAACTTTCAGCGAATGTTTGAAATGTGTGCGCGCGGCGCCAAGGCGAGAGTCACATTTTGAAAAGGAGCCACCCTCAATCCGTGAATATCTTGTTCGTAAAGACGAATGTACGCAGCCGCATTTCTGAAACGGCCCGCCCTCCATCCGTGAAGCTCTTGCGAACTTTTAAACAGAATGTGCGCGGCGCTTAGGCAAGAGCCACATTTTGAAAGCCACCCGCCCTCCATCCGTGAAACTCTGGCATGTTTTCTACCGAATGTGCGCGGCGCTAAGGCGAGAGCCACATCCTGAAAAAGACACGCCCTCAATACGTAAAACTTCTGCGACCTTTTAAGAGGAGTATACGCGGCGCTATTGCGAGAGCCACATTTTGGAAGCGGCCCGTTCTCCATCCGTGAAGCTGTTGCGCGAATTCTTAAGCTTCAGGATCATACATGGTAAGGACATATCAGGCGAAACGCCTGTCCCGCCCTTCCGACTGGCCTCGGGGTGCGGCAGGGAGGGGTTACTTGTAAGGGAGAGAAACGAAGGGATGGAGGGAGGGAGGCGGAGGCGGAGGCGCAGGCGCAGCAGCAGCAGCAGCAACAGCAGCAGCAACAGCAGCAGCAACAGCAGCAGCAGCAGCAGGAGGAGGAGGAGGAGGAGGAGGAAAAAGGAGGAAAATGGAGGAGGGAGGACGGAGAGAGGAGTTCAGACGCAGCAGCTGTACAGCTCATGTCCGCACCATGTCACAAGGAGGACGGCGAGAAACAGAGTGTTTTTTTTGTCCGCGCCCAGGCGGGAGCATCCTCGGATTCCTCTGCGAAGCGGCCGGATGCTCGCCCTCTCCTCCTCTCTCTTCCGCAGCCCCTGCGGGCTCGAGCCTGCCTTGCTCTCGAAGGGGGGAGGAGGCCTCCCCCCGAAGCCCCTCTCTCCCGCGCGCGCCCTGCCGTGGGAGGCCTGCTTCCTCTCTTGGCCCTCCTGGCTTCTCGGCCGGCGCCCACCCCGGGCCCCAGGAAGGCGCGGGAGGGGGGCCACCGGCAGCCCTCGGCGCGCGCCCCAGGGATGGGCCACCCCACGCTTGCGGAGGGGCATAGGCCCGAATCGCCGCCTGGTGAAGCCGCGGCAGACGGCGGGGCGAGCCCTGCATCGGGGCGCGCCGTAGCGGCGCCCTGGAGCGGTTCGCCCCCGGACGCGGCGCTGGCAGGGCCGGCGAGGCTGCGGCGGCCGCCGCGCCCTGCGGAGGTCGTCGGGCCAGAGCCGGCCGCGCCAGAGGAAGCGCGGGGGGGGGGCAGCCAGCGCTGGCGGCGGCGCCCTCGGAAAGGAGTGCCCAGGACTTGTCGGGGCCCTGGAGGGGAATTTGGGTGGGCGCCCCGGCCTTGCAAGGGCTGCTAGAGGGCGCTCAGGCTCGGTTCCGACGGGAGGTCAATTATCGCCTGGAGGCTCGCGTCTCTGCGGAACTGGCCAGCGCGGAGGCAGCTGGGACTACAGCCAGGAGAGGGTCGCCCAGTTGATGGGGGCTCTTCATGGGTGCCTTCGGACCCGGCAACGGCCCTGAGGCGCTCCCGGCAGCTCCTGCAGCGAAGGCACGTCCCCGCGTGCGTCGCGGAGGGCTCGGGCGGTCGCGGCCCCGTGCGCCGCGGAGGGCGTTCCAGATATGCGTGGCCCCCGACCGCCCGGGCGGCTGGAGGCTGGGAAGTGGCCCGGCGACCTGGGGCGACAAGGACATGCTGGCGTGCGCGACGCGCGGTTTCGTGGAGAGTGCCAGTTCGGCGCTCTTCCCGCGAGTTGAATATTGCGCCCGCCGGCCCACGCGCAGGAAGGGCTCCCGAGCGCTGGCTGGGCGCTGGGGGGGCGCCCTGCGGAGGGGGGCGCGCGCGCGCGGCTGCCGTCTCGTACCGAGGAATGCCCAGGGGGCCATTTGGTTTCACTACCACGTGGAGAGGCTGGCCCCGCAACGCGGGCGCCCCCAGCCGAGGGAAGAGCTCGGTTCGCCGCCCTGGAGGAGCGCCGAAGGTTGGAGTGAACCTGCGAGGAGGAGGTCTGCGTTCCCGGGGAGGCCTGCGGGCGTGCGGAGGCGCGGGCGCTCGGCAGCCTGTTCGACGGCCCGACAGAGGGCCGGGCTTGGGGCGCGCTGCCCCCCCCCAGCCGCCGCCAATCCGCCGGAGGACGCCGCTCGGGAGCAGGCTCTTGCGGCGGACGACGGCAGGTCGGCGGGGGGCGGGCAAGGGGGCATCGGGGCCCGCTGAGACGCCCGAGGGCGAGCCCCAGACGACGGGAACGCCCCTGGGCGCGGCGGCGAAGGGCGAGGATGGCAACGCGGAGTGCAACCTTCTCCTTCAGAGTTGGCTATCGAAACCATGGCGCGGGACCCCCGCGGACGAGCCTCTGCCTCTCGCGCGTCCCCGCAAGGGCCAGGGGGGCCTGCCTGGGGCGGGAGAGGGGGGCAAACGGGGCCCCGCCTCCGATCCCGCAAAAATGCAGCCGAACTTGCGGGAGCGGCTGGGGGGCGAAAGTCGCCGGCGTGCGGGGGGGCTCGCCGCCGCGCGGGGGGGCCAACCCGCGAGGTGCGAGGGCCGGGGGAGTTAGGTGTCGACGCCTTCGGCGGTTTCGCTACCTGCGGGGGGGGGGGTGTCGCGTGCGCGGTGGACGTGGGGGGCGCGATTCCGCGTGGACTCCTCCCGCGGGAGGTCCGCCACCCGATGAACAGAGGCCTTCAGAGGCTCGCTGGGGACTCGCTGCTCGAGGGGTGCGCGAGCCAGGAGTGCCCTCGGGGCGGCTAGGGCCGCCCGATGGCACCCAATGCGCGCCCAATGGCACGCGGGGGTCGCGAGAGGCCAAGGGCGCGCAGAGCTTGTGGCCTACAGCGGCTTCTAGGCTCTAGTCCACCTGCGGGGCGCCCAAAGGGTGATGGGGGCGCGGAAGGTGAAAGTGAGCGCCTCCGCCCCATGTGCGAGCTGGAGGCAATCGAACCCCTGAACGGACTGAACAGACCGATGGGCTCGGAGGGCGCGACTACCCACCTTGTGGCCACCCCTCCCTTATCTCCCCCGCTGGTTTCCCCCGCCCAAACGAGCCGTTGCCCGATCGGGCAGGGGCTGCAGGTTGCTCATGCCGCAGCAGCCTGTGCGCTTTTGCTTCCTCCCTCCGCGGAAACCCGCGGTCGTTGCACCGCCAACGCGCGTGCAGGACGCCCCGAGTGGATGGCGCCTCGCGGCGCGCCCTGCGCAACGGAGAAAACGGGGTACCCTGCGCTTTTTGCAGTGGTCGGTGGCGCGCACTTCGCGACGCTGTGCCCACTGTTTGCGCCAGTAAAAAGAAGGGTTCATGGCGTCCTTCCCTCTTCGCATTTTGTGGTGTGAAGTGGAGCGGATGGGGAATCTGGTTTGTTCGTGCCCAGGCTGGAACACGAAGATTTCTTCTCGAAGCGGCAGGGTTTTTTTTTGTTGTTCTCTCTCTCTCTCTCTTTCCGATTCCCTGCAGCCCCTCCGGGCCCGAGCCAGTCTTACCTCCCTTCCACCTTGCATTCCCCCCATAAGGGACGACGCTGTACCAGTGCTTGCGCCAGTGAAGTCAGGGGCCCTGGCGTCCTCCCTTCTTCGCCTGATGTGTTGTGAAGTGGAGCGGAAGCGAACCAGTCTGTACCCGTTAAGTGACAGTGTCCAAGAGTGCAATCGTGGGGGGCCCGGGTCAAACGACGAACAACGAGGAAAAACAGGAGAAGGAGGAGGAAAAGGAGGAGGAGGAAGAGGAGGAGGAGGATGAGGAGGGGGTGGATGAGGAGGATGACGACGAAAAGCGAGGAAGGAGTGATGAGTGAGGGAGGAGGGAGAGAGGATACATGGAGGAGGTGGACGATGACGATTATGGTTCATGATGATGATGGAGATGATGACGGTGATGATGAGGATTGATGATGACGATGCTGATACTGATCATGTTGATGATGACGGTGACGATGAACAGCATGATGGTGATGATGATGATGGTGAGGATGATGATGATGACGATGATGATGATGATGATGATGGTGATGGTGATGATGATGATGATGCTGATGATGATGATGATGATGATGCTGGTGATGGTGATGGTGATGGTGATGATGGTAGTGAAAGTGATGATGATGACGGTGGTGATTATGATGATCATGATGGTGTTGATGGTGGTGATATTGATGAGGAGGATGATTAGGATGATGGTGATGGTGATGGTGATGGTGATGGTGATGGTGATGGTGATGATGATGATGATGATGATGATGATGATGATGATGATGAGGAAGAGGAGGA